TAAAACAACCCACATTTCATGCAAGTATTTCCATTTAACTTACCAGGGCATGATTGACTGCACGTAAACAGTCATTCGTCTTAAGCATCAGCAAGATGACATTTGGTAGTCTCCTGAGGAGCTCCGAGATTTGTGGGAAATACAAGTTAGCATACATCTGTGACCGAGAATTAAAAACCAGGTAAGAGTGGACCATCATCAAGGACCTCGAGATTCAAGGCCATCTGAAAATAGGCTAAATATGTAGAACTTGACTGTCAAAAAGGCACAATGGCCAGTCAAATATGAACTTATGAAAAGAACGACAATAGTAGACATCTTCAATAAAAAGAGGAGGAATATGAATCTATTTTGAAAAACATGTTACATGTGGGAAATAGGTTTAAAAGCATTCCTAGTTTAGCAATTACATTTTACCGTTTTCCTACGGTAGGAAAAATAAAAGTTTAGAGTCCTAGTATCTGTTGAAACAATTAAGACAAATCACATCACAAGCAGTAAGTGAAAAAAAATTCTAGAGGGTTATGACATGGTAAATTTTACGGTGTGATGGCATGCTAATATTAATAAGTTCTCATGGCTTACTGAATGTTGTTAATTTGCATTGGTTTATGCAGCACCTAGGGTGTCCAATAAGAACAAAATAACACATAAAACAATCACCTGCATTTCAGAACGATCAGTATTATTCCCATCCAGCACAAGATGACCAAAAGATGGGTCAATGACACGTTCCCATGGCCTCATTGTGAGAACCCCAGCAAAAAGTGCATGAAGATCCTCCCCGGCACCTAGTTTGATACTGTACTCCTTAATTCCATTCTGATCGGCGCGAACAAGCGCCTACATTGAACAAATGTGGTAGAAGTATTAAAGTACTGAGTACCGAAACGTAATCAGAAAAGTTGTAATAGGATTCTCACCTTCCAAAGAGAAGCATAGTTTATCCTTGTAGCGTGATCAAGTTCTTTGTAAAGACCATGGTCAAGAAGAACCAGTTGTGGCCGTTTCGATCCTAACACTCCAGCAAAATATTCAGTCAGTTCACTCTGTTATACAAATGTGCCACCACATAGAAAACACAGTAAACTGATCATTCCAACAAATATAGGCCGCCATGTAATCATGTTTTCATAAATTCACACATCTCACTTCCCCCGTATCACATAACAAGAATCATCTCATTGTACTGATGATCATGATGAAGCTACCTACTGCCTACCACTCTCTTCATCAAACATAATGACAAATATCGATATTATGCACTATTCAATTTATTCATTTAGTGTAGCATAGTTACTAATGCACAGGAGATAACCTCTGATGCAGTTAAGAAAAGCTAGCAATATATTGGATAACTTGTTGGATTATTTTGTGATACTAGTAAGTAAGACACTCACCAAACCATTTTTTACTGTCTTGTGGCAAGGGTCGGATCATCATATTGGCAGCGTGGGGATCACAATGCACGAAACCATGCTTGAAAATCATTTCAGCAAATGCTTTATTCACCTACAAAACTGTGAAGTGAGTATCCATACACAACTCATTGGCACATTCGTTTTCAAATAACTGTACTGTGACAACTTACTAGGTTTGAAACATCAACAGGGCGAATTCCGAGGTCTTTAATGCCTTTGACATCAGTTACCTCCTTGGCATCAATGTACTCCATAGTAAGAATTCTTGACGTGCTGAGGTTCCAATAAACCTTGGGGGTGCATATGCTATTCGCAATGTGAGGAGACAACTTTCTAAAGTTAACCAGACATCTTTCACTGTTCTGAGCTTCACATAAAAAATCTAATTCCTGAAAACATGAAAGAGGTTAATGCAGCCTCCGGATTATGTAACTTGTTCCTTTGCATTTCACTACAAAGGACGGTGTTCAAGTGAGATAAATATATCATCTAGTAAAGCACAATATTCAATAGCAAGATAGGGATCCTACAAGCAGGCGATCATGGACACAAAATAGACAAATAATTACAACATGACAAAGCATAGCAAAAGGATAGCGCATTTTCCAGGGAAACGAAAAGCAATTATATTGGATATATTGAAGTCCAGGAACCAATTGGCAAGGAGGTAAATAATTTAAACATATAAAAGTGGTACCTTAGGCGCACTTTCTCGAATTTCATCAACTAACCACCTGCATGGACCAATTTTCGGGGTATTAATGTGAAATAGCACAGCATGGAAAGAAGCATTATCATCACAGAATTTACAGTTGCATTAACATAATATAAACACTGCATGCAAATCTTACTTCCTGATGAATAGCTAGAGTATAAAAACATGGCAATGGACAACAGGTTGGATTAAGGGTAAACAACTAAACATACAACAGTTTTCCTGTGATTTAGAGTTACACAATCATTGTAGAAAGGTGACTGTCAACGAATGGAATCTTTTAGGAACTGTGTTTGCAGTGTCAACCAGAAAAATGAAGGAATTAAAAACAATTCTTTAATGGAAAGCATCAAATATGTCCTCCTAATTCCTAACCATAGCAAGCGAGCTGAAATATAAAATTAGGTGCTTCTAATTCCATAAATTGAGTTGTTATGCCAGGTATACGCTGGGGAATGATTCCCATGTGTAATTAACAAGATGGAAATGTCAATATCGTGCTTGACCTAGCTATCGATTTGAGAGAACATGTCCCTATCTTAACTAATTCTAAACATCAGCATAAGCCTAAAAGCTTTCGAGGTGGTATGTTAAAAAAAGAAAGAGAAAACGAGGTAATAAACAAAGAACTGGTTGTACCTGTAGTCAAATGTAGGGAAAATATAATTAAGAGCATTCACTACTAAATCCACGGTGGCAATATCTATTACAGAAGTATCCAGCAAGTGGTCGTGTTGAACCTGTAAGCCAAGACAGGGGTCAGAAAAGTGGAAGACAGACAGCAAGCCTCTGGTGTCATAATTTAAGAGTTCAAACTTAACATAAGTCAACTTGAAACGAACTGCAGTATTTTCTTGTATTACAACCTTAACAGCGACTTTTTTCCCATCATGTGTTGTGGCGGCATGGACTTGCGCAAGAGAAGCACTTGCAATTGGGACAGGGTCGAATTCTGCAAAAACCTACACCACCAGGAACAGGGGAAATACAAATTATGTGTGAGAGTTTCCTCTAAAGTACAAACAAGCTGAGCATAAGTCCATCTTATGGTTAAAGGTGAATGCTCTGTTGGCCAACAACTGAACTAAGCACGCTCATTCCAATTGTCTGGTTTTGCCAACAAATACAGCAGCTAAGTTCCTCCAGCTAATAAATGTAGGAAAATGCAGTAATGCAGTGAAGGAACTAACAGTTTCTGGCAATTCTCCAATCTCTTTCTTGAAGACCCCACGGACGTCCTCGTACGAGGAGACTGGGCACCGCTTCAGCATCGACTCCCTCATCGTCTGCACATACTCCTGCGGCAGGACATACTCCTGAAAAAAGCAAGCAGCTGATCCTCAGCGACAAAATCACGAAATCTCACAAAGCAAACAGATAAACGAACAAAGAGTTAGGAATTCAGGCGCGTCGGCACAGGGTTAGGAATTCCCCGTTCCCGTACCAGCTGCGCAATGTGCTGGCCGAGCTTGATGTAGATGCCGCCGTTGCGGAAGCAGAGCTCCTGGAGGCGGTTGGCGGAGCGGAGGTGGGCGTCGTGCTTGGCGGTCAGCCAGGCCGGGGAGTCCGGCTGGAGGCCCCAGAGGGAGTACTGGTAGTCGAAGGCGATGGCGGCGGCGGCGACGGAGTCGCGGAGGAGGCGCGGGGGCAGGTGCCGGCAGATCTTGAGGGTCCTGGCGGGGTCCTCGGAGGTGGCGATGGCGTGGGCGCCGGCGCCGGCGCCCAGCGCCAGCGCCGCCGTCGCGGCCCGCCGCCACATGGCCGCGGGGTTGCTTCGCGTGCGGTGCGGTGCCGCTCCTCTCCTCCTCTCCGCGCTGGTCTTTTTTTTTTTCCTTTCTTCGGCCGCAAGATGATGCGGGCGGTGGTCCGATGGAATTCGTATGCGTTCGCGCGATCCGCCCGTTTATATCGACGTCCCCCTCGATTCGGTCGGTGTGCGCCGTCCGTTTTTTCTCTTTATAAATTATTCGGGGGACAGGAGGACTCCTCCCTTCTGTTTCAGTGCTTTTATTTGAGCATCTCCGACAGATGGTATATCAAAATTTAGGAGTAGGGCGTTTCGGTGCCCATGCTCATCTGCACCCGGTTTTCTGTATTTTTTGTATTTGATGTGGTGTTCTGTATTTTGTTCGTATTTGATACCATCAAAGCAAGTGACAAACTCTAGGAGCTTAATGAACATTGTTGAGTAATGCAAAATGTACGTAAGCAAGTCTGTCACCCATGCAGAATGTATGTAAGCAAGTCTGTCACCCATTTCACTCTTCTTTCGCCAGAATATATACACACCACTAAATTTTGTTGGCTAATCATGGCTTAGGTGTAAAAAAATACATACATCAGATCAAACTTAAACATATTTCTTGGAATCACATCGGTATCTCAGCCGCACATAAATAGGGGTGCTGCGCCTAATTACGTGGGCAAGTTTGTCACTACTTTTCTTGTTTCGCGCGGATAACTCCAATTTATTCATCTGGCAAGACGTACTCTAGTCTAGACACGAAAATACCATCGCCAAAGCATTGTTTTTTTTTTGGAACAGCCAAAGCATTGTTACTGACCAGCGCCTTGACGTGTTATAGGCGTCACACACATGATGCGCAACGCACCCCCACACACTCCGGTAGTGTAGAACAACTATAGTAGAGTCGTCAAAATTTGGGTTGCCAAAAATGCTGTGGAGACAGTCGCCAACAAATATGGATACTGAAATGATTGACTGCAAAGTCAAAATCATTACAAAACAGCTTGCACAAATTTTCCTCTAAGTAGGACCCACCTATTGCATGACATCATTCATTAATTATATATATTGCCATTCTCTAGTCATATTGTCATCAATTCACCAAAATGACGAAGACTGAAAGTGCATTGTTCCCCAATGCTACTTTGGTGTTGATGACAATGGGGTTAGTGAGGACTAATGTAGTTTATCAAGTTTATCTTACGGATACTGGTCTCTCAGTGATTGTCTACCGACGTGATTGAGCCATTATTTCAAAAAGGGGAAAAGGCATGGTCTCTCAGTGATCGTCTACGGACATGATTGAGCCCTTATTTCAAAAAGGGGGGAAAGGAATCGGTTTCTCGAAGACTCAAAGATTTTTCGATTTTATTTGAGCCAAAGTACCACCACACTATTGAGAGGGGGCGTGGTGTTTGAAGAAGTTAGGGATTAGGCTATCATGTAAATACAACCACCCCATTGCGAAATTTCTCTCAAAAGGGTAAAACGCTAGACCAACCTGTGCAATTGTTGGGACCTTCGGATGTTAGGACTCGCATGTCCCTTGATTGGATGGAATTTTTCTGTACACCCTGGTCCCCGGACACTCGAACCTCCGGGTCCCTGGGGTCCCCAAGGACTCCACCGTGTTTGTCTCTTGGATGGACTGGGTCCCCGAAGTAGGGATATTCCCTCTAGACAATCGAGTCCTTCAGGTTCGAAGCCCCGACTCTCCGTAGTGGTGTGTGTGCTGGTGCTCGGGCTAGTGTAAGTACCCATGCCCTTTACCCTCAGTCCATTGCAGGGCAACAACTACATTGGCTCTTCTTTCTTTCAACTTTAACCCATTGACTTGTGCTTGGTCCACCAATCTGAAATTCTAAAATCTCAATTCCTCCCAATCCCTCCACTCAAACTCTTTGATTCTCTGGCGATCGAAAGAGGATCACTCTATCTACGCTTCCACCAAATTAATTTGTGATTCCCCAACTCATTCGTCATCAAACTTGTTCCCGTTAGATATTTGGGCTCCTATATGGTAGGGGTCAAGGCCCAGAAGCTTCCTTGTTTTGTGGTGTGCTTCAGAAAGTTTGTAAAGGTTCGGGTGGTCGCCTTCGTGACCAACCATGTGTGATTTGAGGCTCATCTGTTGGCGGTGGCTCAAAGAGAGAATAAGGTGAGCCACTTTGGTGGTACAGAACTTTGGCTTTGGCACCTCTCCAATGGGTGTTAGAACTCCCCAAAGAGTGTGAACTTTCAGATAAAATCTAGGATGCCGGTAACGCCCACACGTGTGGTATACTAGACATTCGTCCACACACTGTGTATAGCGTGAGCAAGAGGCAGCCCACACGGGCTGTGTGTGGGCAAACATTAGAATTGCCCACACGTGTGGGCGCAGGTATTTCGTGCCGCACGCCCAACAAGTACTACTCATCTTCACCCCGCACGTGTGGCACGAAGCAAAAATGTCCACACATCCTGCCGCAACTATGTTAGGTACCCCGTGGGATGACGACTTAGTTGCCATCCAGGATGGCAGATGTAGTTATCCGGGATGACAAATGTAGTTGTAAAAGCATGGCAACTCTATCTGTTTTGGTTAACTATAGTTGCCATGTCTAATTTGTGATAGTTGCCGCGTGTAATCAAACCATAGTTGTCGTGTGTGATTAACTACTTGCCACATATGATCAAACAATAGCTGCCATGTGTGTTTACTTAGTTGCCACATGTGGTCCAGCCATAGTTGCCATGTATGGTTAATCACAGTTGTCATGTGTGTCTATCTGGTTGCCACGTACGCACAACTACTGTTGCCGTCTAGCAACGAATCATAGTTGCCATGTGTGTTTACCTAATTGCCACGTACGCGTAACTGCAATTGCCATCCAACAACGTATGAGTGTCGTGTGGGCGAAAATCAGTTCGCCCACACGCGCGTGGACTAGGTGATGGTTGTGTGGGCAGAAACTAGTTCGCCCACACAGCGTAGCTGGCAAACCGCGTGTTGCGGAGCGTGTGAGCGAACTCTCCAATGCCCAAACACCAGCCCCGTCCTACGTGACACGTAAAATCCGCCTCAATGTATCAAGATTCATGCAAACTCGACTGGACGGTGATCCACGCGTGTGAACAAGTTGCAAAACTACCACACGTTGCTGAAATTTGAGATGGGCTCTAGGCCCATATAGCAATTTCTGAAAAATCTATAAGGACCTATATGGGTTATATGGCACTAGGTGCAGTGGGAAGTTTAGTCCCACCCCGAAAGTGGAAGAGGAGTTGGACCTCCTTATAAGGTTTCTCTTCAACATGCTATTGGAGCTTGAGAAGAGAAGAGCCCCCTGCGCACTCCTCCTCCGCCGCTCGCCTCGCCACGCCTCGTCACGAGCGCCGCGGGTTGCGGGATTGAGCCGAGCCGAGCTCACACCTACGCGCTTATTTTTGCCAGTCACTAATGGAGAGTTCTCTGACAGCTGGGCTGACATGTGGGCTGACACGGACTCAGACGTGGGTCGAGCCCACGTCTCTCCACGCGGCTGCGTCTATATAAGTGTGCGGTGTCTCCTAACCCTAGCCGCCACGAACAGATCACATCTGCTCCACATGCACGCCCACCGTCGTTCCTTTGCTGCTGCTGCCGTCGGTGACTCCATCCCGTTCACCGCGTACACGGTCGACGGGAGAGCAGGTCTCCGAAACCACGCCCTTCTGGTTCCTGTACGGGGTGAGGGGCGAATAGGTTTTTGGGCAGTGATTACGCGACTTCTCCCTTCCGATCGTCTACTTCCTCTACGTCTGCGTCGCCTTCATCATCACCATATCCACCGACGTCGAACGTGCCGCCGCCGAGAAAGCTGAAGCCGACAAGAAGGCCGCCGAGGACGCCGCTGCTGCCACCAAAGCCGCGGCCTCTGCATGGCCTACTGGAGGGTCTAACTCGTTTATCCCGCTCCTACTATTTTCTGTTTTACCCATGCTAGCGTTATACGTAGGTCTTTCTGCAATTAGCATAGTATGTGCTAGCTTGACTGAATATCATTATGTGTTTATTTGTGTCAATGCCATGCTAGTGATTTACCCGTGGATTAATTTAATCAAGAAATTGCCTATTTACTCAACAATCCAAAAACCTATTATGTGTAGGAATTTTTCGGCAAGTGGCTTTGCCGCTACACTGAAACCGGATAAGTTTATGTCATGTCCTGAATAAAGTTCCGACAAAGGATAATGAGATCACTCCCTATGAGAAATGGGCAAAGAAAAGGACAACACTCTCGTAGTTGCGTACTTGGGCTGTTTGGCGAAAGTCAATGTGCCGATCCCCAAAAAGCGTAAGCTTGGACCAAAGACTGTGGACTGCGTTAATTTGGGCTACTCTAAGAACAGTGTTGGCTATAGATTTCTAGTAGTGAAATCTGAGGTACCTGTCCAGAAGGTCGGTACAATTATGGAGTCTAAGGATGCTACATTCTTCGAGGATATTTTTCCTATGAGAGATATGCAAAGCACTTCTAGACAGGAATCTGAGGAGACTCCTGAACCTGCCATCCCTATGGAATATTATGAACAAACACATGATGAAAACCCTGAGGAGGATGACGAGGAAACCCTTGGTAGGGGCAAGAGACAAAGGACTGCAAATACCTTTGGTGATGATTTCTTCGTGTACCTCGTGGATGATACTCCTATTTCTATTTCAGAACTGTATGCCTCTCCAGAAGCTGACTACTGGAAGGATGCGGTCTGTAGCGAGATGGATTCCATCATGGCTAACGGTACATGGGAGATCACTGAGCGTTCCTATGGTTGCAAACCATTGGGATGTAAGTGCCTGTTCAAAAGAAGCTTAGGCATGATGGTATGATTGAAAAGTACAACGCTAGGCTTGTGGCCAAGGGTTATGACCAGAAAGAAGAGGAAGATTTCTTCGATACTTATTAACATGTGGCTAGACTGACCACCATTAGAGTATTACTCTCGTTGGCGGCCTCGCATGGTCTTCTCGTCCACCAGATGGGTGTTAA